AATATATGTTGCCATGGATCAGTGTGGAGAAATTCGAGTTGGTGATCCAGTATCTGTCACATACAGATAATATCAAACAGTACCCTCTTGTGTTCTAGAAGGCTTTATACTAAAATGATATAAATGATTAGTAATTATACTTTATATGATAATATACCTTGTTTGGTAACTGTCACTGCTGTTGATAAACTGATGTAAAAACTGAATAGCAATAATGTATAGTTACACGGTTTTGCTATAATTCGCAACTGTTATCAGCAGCTCTTTTTACATTAGAAATACAATGGTTAACATTGATGGACAGCTAGCAAAAGACAAGCTACTTATAATAAAGGTTCGCAGCTTAGCAAAATAATGTGAATTTATATATCGGTAAAGGTATGATAGAATCACATCAGCTTGTTATATGTTGTGTATATTGTGTGGAGATAAGTAAAAAGCTAGCTGCAAGGTTTATCATGTACAAGATATGCAATTTAGCATACATCGAGAGTCAATACGTAAGTTCGTGTATACATGTCTATGGATATTGTTGGTACATGCTGTATTGCTTGATGTGTTTATAAACAAATACCTTTAAGGGAAACTGGAAAGTCATTAATAAGACAACTTTAGCCTTCTCCCTGTATGTACCTAGCTGAAACACATTGCACATCTACTCTGTGTCACATGAGTAAATGACATTCTGCACAAGTAAATATTCACAAGCGTAAAATACATCAAACAAACTTGTGAAGTCGCAGAATTTTTTTTTTTCAGAGCAAATGAAATATCAGTACACAGTTATCTGATTCACGCACGATATATTCCAGAACTTGCTGTTTTGGGGAAACCAAACGAAGTGCTTAATTGTCATCATCGAGACCAGACAATGAAATGTCATGCAGACACACTGTGTAGGATGGTATCATGAACCTATATAATATGTGTTCATGATGATATACAAAATTATATTAAAGCATAATAACCAATTAACACAAACAACAAATACTATTGTAGCCAAACTGCAATAATTTCAGGTAAACCAATCCATATACATTTACACATTCCAATTTTAAATAAGTTAATAAAGCATTAAATTAATTATAAATGATGTACACTGCAATTTTAACTATCATTTCAGTTAACAGTTTTTGAATGACAATTGGACTCCTAATTGTATACACTATACTGTGAGCAGCAAGCGTTACTGGGCAGCTTAATACTATTGCATTAGACCCTGCGCTATCAGGTCTCGAATAAATGAGCACATCACTTAAACATCAAACAATCCCGAAACACAAAACCAATCCTTATGCACGTTATTTAAATCGGGTAAACAAAACGTGGGTTAAACGACATATTTTCTGCCGAAGAAATTTCCTTCTTTCTGTACTGAAAATTGTAAAACGATCTTAAAAATAAATGCAAACTGAGAATTTTCGGCTTTTTAGCATAGGGTTTTCTAAATATTGTACAGTTCATGTTGTGCAGAGACCATTGCGTAAGGTAGAAGTAGGCATGCATGTGCAAATGGAAATACATTAACCATTTAATTGGGACATTTTAATGGTTCCCAAATTGTCTTGATAAAGCGAGGACCACTGTACTTTAATACCCCGCATTATGATAACCTGAGTTGTCCAATTGTACGTTTTGTACAGGCTATGGTTTGAATCTGTAAATTGGTTGAAAAGCTTTCCAAAGGAGAGGAGAGCATTTACAATTATATAAATCGGAAAAGCGGGATTCACATTGCAGATTTTCATATTACTAAATAATGTTCTTTTCTGGACCGCATTACTTTGGTAAGGGGAGGTATCAATGAACTGCCTCATTGCATAAATTACAGACAGGTACAGTGCAATACCCATATAACTTGTGATTACTGTGCTTGGCATACAAATAAAATATAGTTTTCAGTGCTAATGTGCAAATGAGACCTGCTGGTTTACTTCATTTTGTAAGTTCCATGGTACACTCTTGCATATGCTTGTATTTCAATATATCGTTGAAGCACGTGCTCCAAGCAAAGAATCGCTACATTGCAGAAGCAGAACACAGAAGTGCAACACCACTCTCATAAAAGCTATGCTCATCGACACCTCCTGCAGCTTTAAGATCCACAGTGAAGAGCAGATCTCCACGTGTAGCATTCAGGTATACTGGGAGAGTGATCTGAAATAACAAGGACAGTATATAAACTGAGACCAAGAGCTTATTATTGAATTAATAACAAAACGCATTTATATTATATGACACTCAGCTAATAATATGCTTTGGCGCTCTTGCATAATTATTGTGGAAGTAGTTCGTGCCAAAAACTTTTTGCAACAGCGGGGGGTATAATCAGAGATGAGATACGGTTTCCATGGCAACGCCTTGACCGACGCACATACAAAATATGTCACGCACATCTATGAAGTTGGATTGGAATCCCTGGAAAACTGTGGAAGTAGTTCGCGCCACAAACTTTGTGCAACGGTAAACGGATCTTATAAACCAGACCGCACGCCCGACCGACCGACCGACCGACCGTAAGATGACTTCTATATACCCCCAAAACTTCGTTTACGGTGGTATAAATATCTATTTATAAAACAAATAATAGGTTAATTAAACATGGTTTATTTTCAAGTATTTTAAGTTATTTTCAAGTATTTTACCCTTGCTAAACAAGCCTATAATGATTGATGATTATAAACACGGTCAACTCACCAAATCTTTCGTTTGTGTTAAGGACTCCGTGCGTACCCAACGTAGACTTGTCAATGGAAGTTCAGTCATTATGGTAGAGACAAGGTGGAGCTGGTTATTCTTGCACATAGCCCCCTGTACCCTCAAACCTAAATTAAACGAATCATGCCAATGTAATGTCTTGTTATTAAGTATATATGCAAGCACACACGCCTGCACACACATAGCACTCGAACACCCACATAAATGCAGCACACACAGACAAAACATTTCTGTTGATAGCAGCTGTTGTTATTTTGCCTCATGGGGCAGCAAATTATCTTCACAATATATAAACTACAAGCAGGATCGAATAATTCCTTTCCGAGACGCTGCTGGAATCGGTGTACGACATAACTTGCATTTTATCTGTGCTGAGACGGATATATTGAGGGATATATATATATATATATGGCTCATCAAAACGCGTAGGTTTGGGAACAAGCCTGAGCAGGAGTAGTCACATGACATAGGTGTTACGACACATTGCTAGGCAGCGTGGTTGGACCAGCACACGCCCAAGGGATCACCTGCGTCCTCACACGCCCAAGGGATCACCTGCGTCCTCACACGCCCTGGTGCAGCTGGGCCCGGCTGGTTTGCACACCATGAAATAATGACCCACTTAATTGGAACATCTGTCGAACTGTACACACCTTTGATGCCAAAGCTGCAGTCATCAAGCTTTAGATCGCTCCCATCATTGTCAGAGACTGTCACCTCCAGAGAGAGCTCTTCCAAGGACCAGCTGTTCGCCTGTGCCACACACTGCCGGGTCGCTGTGATGTAGCCGGCTGGCACAAACAAGCCACCCAGCCACACATTGAGGTTCTGCAACGGTTCAATAATTAGTTGCCTGCAATCACATTTAAATCCGCATTGAAACTTCTTTGTCTATTATAGTCGAGAGGATTAAAACTGCAAAATTGCGCTATTTGCATTCTCCATGAACATAGATATACCAACCTTCAGTTGTGCTGCTCCACCCTGAGATACGGCAGTGGACACACTCTGCAACTGGCGAACCCTTTCACTGAAGTCAGCAATCCACTGGATGACAGTGGCTCCCTGTGGCACGGTATATCTGCGCCAAGTGTCAGGCAGAATACCTACACAAACGAGCAGTTTGATTAAAAGTGCAAAGTCGTGAGAGTATGGTTAGTTAGGTTAGGGTTGGGTTCATGTACCCACAAAAAAGCATTGCCAGAAACATGAAAACGTAACTTGCTGATAGGTCAAGTACACGTTTGCTATTCAAATATAAAACCACCATTTCAAATTGCCGCGCCCCTGTGTCAGCATTTGCATATTTTCTACGGGACCATAGAATTATAGTATCGTGTAGTTTTTACATAAGTTTTGATCACTCTAAATGGGCTTTAAGTTCCAGTTTACAGTGTAAACACTGATTTACACTGAGCCCTGATCGGCATCTCACCTTTAGCAAGGTCGGAGACGAGCTGTCGCAGATAGTTGGTCTGTTTCTTTGTGCCATTGCATACTTCTAGCACATCATCCAGATCACGGCGTACAACCTCCAGCAACTTGGCACCTAGGTTCACCTATAAAATGTCATGTATGGCATCAGCAGGAGAATTACACTCAATAGTACAAATAATTAGGTACAATATCTGTCATAGGCTATTGCATCAGAAAAATTGAAAAATACAACAGGAATGTTAAGAATTAAAACTAAATTCGTGCAACCGAATTCAACATTACGTATGCAGAGTCTATTTAGTTATTTGAAACATAGGTTAACAATGTGCATAATAGTCATGTACAGACGTCGCATAGCAAGAGTGAAGTAAAACATAGTATTTAGAACTTGTGTAATCGCTGCAGGAAATGTCCCACCTCTCTCTCAAAGTATCTGTACAGAGGGTCCTTGATGTTGTCCACTGTTCTCTTCAGTCCTACCAGGTTCTGCAAGAATATGAACATATTACCACATGCTCACAACTCAACCAACATACTAAGCTTTTGCCTAGGCCCTAGACAGATACTTTTTCTTCATATCGTTAGCACTGGCGATGCTCTAAAATATTCCGAATGATTGAACTGAGAGACATACCAGCCAACTGATATACTATATCAGCATCAACATTGAACAAGACCCAACCATTCCTAACTAGAATGATTGTCCCAGAGAGCGACTAATAATACCCTCCAGCTTCGAGCTGTTATGGTGCCTGTATGTGTATTGTAGAATTTGTCAATGAACGGCTTCATGGGAAAAATCCGCTGCCACAGAAGGTGCAATCAAACGCAGAGTCAAACATGAACAACATCAAGCACATACGCACGCACGCACGCACGCACGCACGCACGCACGCACGCACGCACGCACACACACACACACACAGGGAGAGAGAGAGGGGGGGAGAGATGAACACCCACACCCACACACACACACACACACACACACACACACACACACACACACAAGGACACACGCATACACACACGGAGTCAGCCTGCTTGCGTGTACCCTTACACTCACGTATGCACACACACGCTGACGTCCACATACGCCCTCACGCGCACACGCGCGCGCACGCACACTCATTCATGCACAGTTTTGTCAGTCACTTAAGAAGGTTGCCAAGCAACCGGTAGCCGGTGGCGTAAAAACGTGCGTCTTTCTTAAAGCCGGTCGCGAGATTCGAATGCAAGAATGAAACACGGCATAACGACGACAATAGGAACGCGATTGTTGGTCGTCGGTGAAAGGTATGAGAGAGCGAAAGCGCGAGTGAGAAAGAGAGGCAGAAAGAGAGAGAGTGAGCGAGAGAGAGAGAGAGAGAGAGAGAGAGAA